ACGTACGGCATGTCGGCAGCCCCCGTTGGAGGCCCCGAGGCGAGGCCGGCACGCCAGTACGTCGTACGTGTACGTGATACAGTGCTGACGACAGCCACAGGGATCGGATCTGCCGCCTGCGCGTGCAATGTCGTCCGTGGCCGTGGGCAGTGGCGACGCAACGTACGTAAGGCGGGGACCGCTGCGGCGGGTCGGCCGTACTCCCTCCGTAAGGAATGACGTTTTTTATTTTTAGACGTTATCGTTCGTTTTATTTAAAAAATTTATGTAAATTATAAAATAAATAAATTAATATTAAGGTTTCTCTGATAATAAAATAAGTTATAAGAAAATATATGATATTTATAATAAAAAAATAAATAAGATGGATGGTTAAGGCCTGTTTGGCAGGGTTTCTCCACCAGCTTCAGAAGCCGTTTGGAGCCGTTTTCTGCCAAACGGGGTAAAGTGAAATAGCTTCACTGGTGAAGCCCCTAAAAACATGCTCTCACAATGATTTGGGTGGGATGGAGCCAAAAAAATTGGCTTCTCCCGGCTCCTTCTCCAGACCCCTAAAAACATGCTCTCACAGGGAAGCCATTTTGCCAAACGATTTATCAAAACCGCTTCAGCTCCACCGGTGAAACTGTTCGTGGAGCTGAAGCATAAAAAAAAACTTTAGTAGTGAAGTGAAGTCCAGTCAACGGGGCCTAAATAAGATGTATGAAAATAAAAAACGATAACTCTTTTTTCGACGAGGGAGTACGTAACGAGCAGCAGCCAGAGCTTGGGTGTGGCGTGCGGCTTCCGCGGCACGTCCGTCCAAGCCCGGGCCCGATTGGCGATTACGATACGACCGGACCAGCTAGCCGTGCGGTTGATTGGCGATTACGATACGACCGGATCCAGAGCGGCGTGAGCTGTCGTGATTTGGATGTGCAATGTGTTCCTGGCTGCTTAACGACCAGCAGGCTCATAAATGATCATAGATTATTTACTACTTATTAATTTAATGTGAGAGAAAAATATTATTTCAGCTTATAATCCACGATCATATACGAGCCGACGAACAAGCTACAGATATACTACTAGTACAACAAGCGATATTGGCAGCTGTCAGCTGGTCTGCTGTGGCTTTTGAGGACTTGTTTAGTTTCTTCACTAAAACTTTATACCCTATCACATCGAATGTTTAAATAAATGCATAGAGTATTAAATATAAACTAAAAAAATAACTAATTGCACATATTACGACTATTTTACTATACGAATCTTTTAAGCCTAATTAGTACATGATTTGATAATATGGTGCTCCAGTAACATTGCTAATAACGGATTACTTAGGATTAATAAATTCGTCTCACAGTATACTGACGGATTCTGTAATTTATTTATTTTTTTATTATCCGAACACCCCATACGATACCTACATATAACATCCGATGTGACAATCTGAATCTAAACAAGTCCAGAACTGTCGTCTCGACGGCTGCCGCCCGCCTCCAGCTCGATCGCGCGCACACATCGATTTCTCCGTGATCAAGCAAGAATAAGGAGGGTCCGCATGCATGATTACTGGCGGGACGACCGCAAATTAGACTTAAACCCGTATATACACACGATGGCACCCGGAACCTACTCCACCGTTCAACGGCAAAAAAAAAATTGTCATACGCCGGCGCTTGAGCTGTGCATTCTACTCTGTCCAGATGGAAATGTACGGGGTTTTAGTTAGACGTGTGGTATGGGTAACCTACGCACGGTTATACTCCTAGAATTTGGCCACATTTACCACCCACAAAAAAAATGTTTTGGGGTGATGAGCACCTCCGCGACTGTATGTCTATGCACGCTGCATAAATTTAGAAAAAAAAAAACAATTGGAAAGACTAGTCTTAAATATTAGATGCTTAAAACGGGTTGTTTGGTTACTGACCACAGTTTGTCACACTTTATCGTAGGCAAGTTTGACTAAATTAGCAATGTTTGAAAAAAATGTTTGTTTGACAAATCTTAGAAAAGTTTATTTTGGGTTTCACATGTCATAGAGTATGGCAAGATTCCCTTAGACATGACAAAGTGTCACTTCTAATTTTCTAACCACACTTTTTATGGTTTGCCACACTTACATAAGGTTAGTTGTGATAGATTATGACCGGGACCAAACAATCTCTAAATTCGCCCACATCAGTGCATGCATGAGAATAGTCTCCATCCAATTTTGTCCCCCTCCCAGGTTGCCACCACTACCCCTTGACGCCTTGAGCCGCCCATCCGAGAGGGAGATGGTGTCGAACCATGTAGGATATAGTAAGTGTGTGTGTTTAATAAAAAATAGAAAGGAGAATAGAAGACACGTCGCGCACACAAACAAGAATTAAGATGTTAATAAAATTGTTATCATATCGGCATCGTCATAAAATCCCCTACAGATTGTACAAGTAAGGAAGTCATTTAAGTATGCAATGAAGAATTTATGCTAATATAACAAGATGCAATATTGCTACCGCTTTAACCCAACCTCTTTTGAATCTATTTTGTCCCTCCACAATAGATAAGATGGGCAGAGTAAACAACTGTACACAGTGTACATTGAGAAACCTTACTAAATACAGCATGTCAAGGATGGAACTGCTTCTGTTTTTTTTTTTTATTTACAAGTTCGAAAGACATGAACACTCTCTTCATATTGGTGGCAGGGATGTTTCAAAGCTGAGGATTTGTACCCACAGTATAAGAAGCACTTGTGCAATTGGCGGAGAATCGGCCGAGATCTGGTGCGAGAAGCTCAAGTTGCTAGGAGACCGGGCATGCTCTCAAGTTACTTGTTTTAGAAGTGAAAGATCCTATGAAAGCAAATGTGTGGAAGCTGGCCCAGGGCTGTTCGGCTGGTATTAAAGTCGGCTGATAAGCCGGCTGAGGTTGTTTTGTTGTGAGAGAAAAGTACTGTAGATTCTAACTGATAAGCGAACATGCCCTGATCTGCTGAGTACATAGATCCTCTGGGAGGAATCGGTTGGGTCACGCAGATGGCTTGATCTCAGGGAGTTGGGCTTAGAGGTTCCCATGCTAGTGTTAAGTTGGGCTTATAAGGCCAGTCTCAACAAGAAAATTTATGACGTTGTTTCTAATATCAACTCCCATTGAGACTGACATAAGCTCTTAGCTCTCGCGTAGGGTTAAACCTCTTAGAGCAACTCCAAGAGATGGGCTATTTGTAATGTCTAATCTAAATTTAGATATTTTGGTAAGATATAGAGGTCCAACAATCGTTCTATCCGGCAATCTAAAATAGCAAGCGCTCTATCCCGTGCTCCTCGGTAGCTAGAAATAGCACACCGCAGCGGCTTGCCATCCGCCTCCCCGGACCTATTTCCATGTGGCGCTGTGTGTCCTCACGTGCGTGGATCATTTTTTCTCATGAGTTCTCGCCATGCACCCGCCCAATAGCTCGCCACCATCTTTCTTTGGGAAACAAGATGATCTCACTCGCACTTGATTTCGTGGAATCCGATCTCGCACTTCGTCGCGGCACTTGTCTTTCGCTGCTGCCGCCGCCCGCCAAGCGCTTGATCTCGCCAAACCCCATCTCGACACTTTCTTTTCTTCTTTGCCGCTATTATGGCAAAATTAATTGAGAGCTCGGTGGGGAAGTGACGAGAAGCGAGGAGTAGAGATGGCAGCTTATTGTAATCGAAAGGATAATGAGCGATCTAATCCGATGACGTGTATTAGTTTTAAAAATAGAGAACCGAAAATTTAGACAGGATTTGTTGGGTTACTCTAGTTTTTTGTGGGTATTTTATTTTAGACAATGGCTAAATTATGGATTTTAGCATCTAATTTTACATGATCTCTTGGAGTTGCTCTTATGTCCGGATGTTGGCTGTAATACCTTGAATAGTTTTGTCGGTGATATCCCCAGTTGAGTGTTGTACACCTTCCGCCTTGGTTTTTTGCTTAGCAACATCGTAGAGTCCTCACGTGATGTATGGTAGAGGAAACGAGCATGAAACGAATCTCAACGCAGTCACTTCCTTCTTCGTTCCACTGTAGGAGTAGTACTCTGCGTTGGATTCCTTTTGGTTTCGCCCGGAGCGGGCGGACCCAGCGCCAGCGCCGCAGCTGCAAGTGGGCAGCCAGGCAAACGAAAAGGAGCGAAGCGAGCATGCATAGCTGGGCGCCAATCCCAACAAACTCCGAGGTCCCAGCACTACTGGCGCCTGCCACTGCGCGCACTCCACTCCCGCCTCGGCCTCGCGCGGCCCCCACGGCCAGCCAACGACGAGTGGTGGGCGCCAGGGCGCGCCCACTGCTGCCCCTACTGCCCAGCCCGCGCCGGAGGGGCAAGCCGACCCGCCGTGCTCCCCCACCACCCACCTCCCCCTCTCTGCCAGCCTGCCTCCGCCCATGCCTCCGCACAGCTCCTACCGTCCTTTGCCCTGCCTTTCACGCTCCTTTATTTTTCTCCTTTTGATTGAATTTTTTTGAGTCGATCCACACAGTTCGATCTACTACTTAACCTGTTTGCAAAGGCACTGTCGGTCCAATCGAATGTGCACCCCAACAAGCCTTGATTTCCCGGGCAAAACAAAACATGAACTTGTTGGTTTCATCCATGCTTTGCCATGGGGTATATACGTACTATAGTACAGAAGCAGTGATGCGGATCACCGCGAGCACCAGCCGTTCTGCCTTTGTAATCGTTGTTCATTCAATTCGGATTGAAAGAACTGGAAGCAGAGAGAGTTCATGATCACAGATTGCTCTAAATTATGAAGCGATCCAAAAAACGAGGACACCCTACATAGCAAAAGCGAAGCAACCAACCAAAATGTCACACCACACCACACCACACTCAGCGCTCACGAAAAAAGGTAGGTGACCACGATCAACTAGTCGATCACCGGAATCGAACTACTCCAACAAACTAGCGCACGCTAAAGCACACATCTGCCTCAACTACTTTCTGTACAATTTGCTCGTGATTCGTGGTCGCCGCCGGTCCGGTCACCAGTGGGTCACCGGAGTAGGTCGGCCCGCAGGTGCGAGAGCTCCTTCCTCAGTCGGTGGGAGAAGAGCCTGCACGCGTCCATGCTCAGGTCCACGGCCGCCGCGAGGGCCACGAACGCAGCCGCGTCCTCGGCGCACCCGACGTGCGCCACCCCGACCTCGACCGTCGGCTTGCTGCACCGGCCCTCGCCCTGGACCGCGGCGGACATGACGAAGCCGCGGTAGTTGCCCAGGGGCCAGTTGCTCAGGTCGCCGCTGCCTCTCGGGCTGCACCCGGGCGTGCCCCCCCGGCTGAGCGGCTGCGCGGCGGTCAGGTCGATGGCGAACTTGCCGCCCTTGGACGAGGGGATGGAGGAGTCGGCGAGTGCGACGGCGTGGTCCGCGCCGGGGACCAGGAGGTCGAAGTGGTAGCCCAGGCTGTCGGACGCGCCGGCGCCGCCGCGCTCGCGCCAGCACTCGAGGCGCGCCCAGGGCTCCCAGGCGCCGTCGCCCGCGGGGCGGAGGATGAGCCACGCGCCCGGGTTGGAGCGGCTCACGCGGTCCGTGCCCGGCGACGGCACGAAAGGCGTGACCATGGACGCCATCGCCACGGGGAGCCCTTCAGGTCGTGTACAGTCACCGACCACCCCTTGCGCTCCTTGGCCGACGACGCGGCGTCGCGCTCCGGCTGCATCCGGGCCTGCGCAGGTCGCTGTTGCTGCGGCATCCGAACTTGCAGGTGAACATGGGCTGCTTCATGCTGCTGCCCACCTGCAGCACCTGTGGGCTGCACTCCGGCTCGCCGTCGAACTCGAAGACAAATCTCGGGTCCGGCTCCGCGCGGATGGTGAGGCTGAGCTCCGTCGCCGCAGCGGGACAGACCTTCCCGGCTCGCTTCCCGATGGAGATCCAGCCGCTGTGCAGCACGGCGGGCTTGGCCTCGGCGCCCTTGAGGTCGAGCGGGATCGTAGCCTTCCCAAGCAGCCGCCCGGAGCTGACGCCGCAGGTACTCCCCTTCCGGCCGGCGTAGACCGACACCTTGAGGCTGGCCTCCCCGCGCGACGAGAAGAGCGACGGCTTCCCGTTGAACCACGCCAGGTCAGCCTTGGACAGGTGGAACGCGGCGGCGAGTGCCCCGGACGCCGGCGTCTGCTCGCCGCCGTCGGAGACCACGAGCGGCGCCGGGACGCTCTGCACCGGCATCTTCCCGAGCCGGATCTTGCAGTAGCACGGCGACGTGGACGGGTGGACGCCGGCCCCGGCGCCGGCGGCCGGCGGCGCCACCGGCATTCTGAGCGCGAGGTTGCCGACCAGCACCCGCACGAACGGGCACGGGTCCATGGCGCGCTTGCTGCTCCTCCTGTCACACCTCCACTCCCTCCCACCCCTAAAATCCGCGCGAAATTCCGCTGAGATTTGGCGGCGACGGGGGCAATGCGGAACGAGGGCGAGGGCGAGGGCGAGAGCGATGCGTGGTGAGGGAGATAAGGGAGGGGACGAGTTGGTATAAGAATCGGGTGAGGAACGGCGGAGCCGTGGAGTGGGAGGAGCCAGGCTGGATCCTGGTGTGCTGTGGCTGTGAGACACCAGTCCGCACACGCCCCACTGGCGCCGCAGCTCGGGATCCCGTCACTCGCGCGCGGGCCCGGCTGCCGAGGCCCCGGGTGTCAGTGAAGGCACGTGGCTTTCAGGTTAGGCGTGGTAGGCGCCGTGGGGACGCGTGCGTGGGGAGGCGAGCTGGACCCGAGACGGATCCGAACGGGCAGCGGCGGGGGCGCGCTGCACTGTGGCCAGGTCCAGGCGGGGGCCTGCGTGGCGTCGGGGTCAGTTGGTTGCGGCTTCCTTTTTGGTTGGAGCTAGCTGCCTGCTGCGCTGCTGGCTGCTGCTGCTCGAAGTACGGCACGACCGACCAATGAGAAGTTGGGCCCACTGGAACTGTGTTACTGGACCCTTATGTCAGTCGGAGGCTGTAGCGTCGGGAATTAAATTGGACTTCTGACTCTCTGAGTGCGTGGGCCTACTACGTGGTTTTGCTGTAGTTTTTCCGTTTTGTAACGGTCCATACTCCAGGTTTCACCTGAGGCCCTTGTTTAATTCTCCCAGACTCCTGAAAAATGTACTATGCAAAAAAAAGATTTCTCATCACATCAAACTTACGGTACATGCATGGAGTACTAAATGTAGACGAAATCAAAAACTAATTGCACAGTTTGCTTTAACTTTGCGAGACAAATCTTTTGAGCCTAATTAGTCAATGTTTGGACAATAATTCACAAATACAAACGAAATGCTACAGTAGGGAATCTTCACTATGCAAAGTTTGGCTGCTCAAACTTTGCCCAACTAAACACCCCCTGCATGGCGAATAATCCGGCGGCACTTTTGCCATAGTTGGCACTTGGCACCTGATGCCGCGAGCAGTCACCCCGTTCGTTTGGGCTTGTCTGTCCTATAAGCTGTACTTTTTTAGTCAATGAACAATATTTTTTCTCACACCAAATCAACCTACGGTACTTTTAGCCATGACTTATCAGCTAAACAAGCCCAAGCGAACAGGGTGAATGTTATGCGGAATTTTTTTCAATTTTCACTTTCACCTGATGGCAGATAACGGATTTTTTGACCGGTTGTGTGTTTGGTGGTCCTGACTCCTTAGATTAACAACTGTTACTTAAAAAACTCATGATTAACCATCAGGGATATTTATGCGGAAATTTTGTAAATGTTTGCTGACACCACTGTAATTCTGCAAACACCAAATCTATCTCGTTCCTAACAGGACCCGGAAACGAAACGCTTCACAAGATTACGATATTTTTCACGGATCACAAGATTAGCGATCAGCAGTAGTAGAGTGGATCGTCGTAAACAAACTTGTTTTTGGCAGCACCACTGTAAACGCGCATACAACAACTGCAGTAGTAAGACCGGTAATTTGTAGGCATCCCTGCGTACTAGGAGCACCTTTGTTTGCAGTGCAGGCGCCGCACGTTGGTGTCTCAGGTGCCGTGGATTGTCGTTTCAGACGAGCAGCAGCGAGCCCGCCGGAGATGTCATGTGCAGGACAGCCAGCACCCCAGGCACCTGAGACCGCCCGGAATGTTTTGAAGAATCCAATGCGCTAGCGTGGCAGGTCAGGTCAGGCTCAGGTTCAGCTGGTGCCCTCATCCACTAATCCATTTTTTAATACCCGAGGTAATCTAGGGTGGCCGAGGGCCGGACGGACCGCCGGATCCGTCATGTGACAGCCGCTGCGGCCAAGGATTTCTTTAAAAAGAAACGCACGGGTGGGCGAGGGCTCGGATGATTCAGCGGAGAACAACACCGGGTCACTGCTGGACGAACAGTGAACAGTGCGCACAGCTTGGCGATGACTCATCGCTGATCTGAACAAAAATGTACTTTTTTTTAATGTTTAGATTGGGCAGCTAAAGTTTAGTCGACTAATTTTAGTTATTTTTTATCTAAACACTATAATTAAATGGTATTTAGCCAATTAGGCTGTGTTTAGTTCCCGAAATTTGGGAATTTGGTTACTGTAGCAATTACGTTTTTATTTGGCAATTAGTGTTCAATCATGGACTAATTAGGCTCAAAACGTTCGTCTCGCAATTTGCAACCAAACTGTGCAATTAGTTTTTTTTCGTCTACTTTTAATGCTCCATGCACGTATCGCAAGATTCGATGTGATTGCTACTGCAGTACTTTTTGGGAAACTTTTTGGGAACTAAACACAGCCTTAGTCACCAAAGGTTGCTAAATGGGACTAAAACCCAGGTTGCCTCATCTTTTAGTTACTTTGGATAAAAAAAACCTGACTAGAAAGGATATTTTTAGTCCACAAAACTAAATATGAGCTAAAAATATGAGCTAAATTTTAGGAGCTTCAATTTAAACATGCCCTTAGTATAAGAGAAAAGAAAGGGCGGAAGAGGTTAAGGCTGATGCTGTGCTGTCCAGCCGTCGCCGCAGCTGCACGGCTTGGGGCCTACACGTATCCATCCATCTCAATTATAAACGCCCTCATTATTCCATTCCCCAGTTGCCATTAACTAATCCGGTCGCCGATCTGCCAGCTCGCCCACAGAGACGAGACCCCGCGCAAAGGCGCAACTTGGGTGGCCTGTGGGCCCCGGCTGAGACTGTGACCCCACGAGGCAGCGAGACGGTCTGTGCGCAGGATAAGAGGCGTGCGCTGTTCTGCTTTTACGCCGGAGTTCATGTCCATCCGTCCGTCCTTCCAGGCTGGGCACAGCTATGGGCCGGGGCCCACGTGGCTGGCTGTGGCTCGTACTAGTACTACCACCATCGTCCATCGGCTTGGATTCCAGGTCCCTCCCAAAAAAAAATCGCCGCGGCGACTGGACGGATCGCGTCGGGCTGGCTGGCGCGCGTGCGCTGCCGCTGCGCTGGAGCAAGCGAGCCGCGAGCGGCAGTGTTGTGGTGTGTGCCAGGCCAGATGAGATGAGCCGTGCAGGCGCAGCAAAGCGCAAGGGCCGCTCCAGCTGTCCCGTGCGAGCGGAGAAGAAGACACCTGTGCTGTGTTGCGACGACCTGCATTGCATGGACATGGCCCATGGCCATGGATGGAGATCGGGTCGGCCGGTCGGGGGTGCTCTTTTTGTTGAGGTGGGTGATCGCCTGATCGGATGAGGGGAAGGCCGCTGGGCCAGCCATTTTCATTGTTCATGGCAGCGAAATCCGGCAATTTTTGAAATTGGTGGAGCGCGGCTTGCCAGCGCATGGCACGAATGTCTAGCGATTGGAATGCAATACAATGGTCCTCCACACGGCCCACACCTTTGGAGATTGGCGAAGCAAGTTTGAAACGGTGCCAGAAGCTAGAAGTTTTTTTTTTCTATTATCGTCCACAACTAGCATCTTCTTTCGAGCTTTCGAACTTATCAATTTGTAGAGAGGCTTAGAGAACTCTATGCTTCGAGTTCGAGTTGCGATAGCGGGGGCTCACACTGACCGGCTCCACCGCGATGCTTTCACTAAAGTCTACCAGACGCAATTGTCAGTTTTGTCACAATGCAACTTGGGCTGTGAAGGCACACCAAAAAATGGTTGGACGGTTGGACCGGCTAGGCTTAGGCCCACGCCCAAGCTGGGTTTGGACCAAGCAACCAATGATACATTGATACACACCCTAATCTGCTGCTTCTGGGCCCTGAGCCCCTGACAGTGAAAACGAATCCGCATCAGTTTCCTATTGAAGGGACTCGAATTAAACAGAAGTATAAAAAGAGCGGAAATGCTCCGCTGCTCACTTTTCTAAAATAAGCTCCAATCCTAAAGCAACCAGTTAATTTAGAACACGTGACGAGGACTCGCCAGGTGCTGCTGTAGTGCGAAGAAGAATGCTGGGTATGGTGTTGCAGTTTATCAAGCGACGATGCACACGGTTAGTGTACAGTTTTTATCTCAAGCAACGCAACTCGTCACACCTGGCATATGTAAAACTTTTGATTTGAAATCCTTCAGGCCGGAGAACAGCCCACACCAATCCAGCCCAGCCCAGCCTAGACCCTCAACCCACCACTATGTTCTATGTGATGTTATGATAAAAAGTCTATGGGAAAAAAGTTGTGCGCGATCGATGCATGGATTGCGGTGTTTTTAAGCCTTGCTCACACGAAAAGGTTTGAACACAACGTCATTATTCTGTTGTGACGCACAGGCCCACACCTAGACCTTGTTGATCTACTCCATGTGGACAAATTCAATGAAATCCAATCCAAGGGATAAAAATCCGATTCCAATCCTGCCCCAAAACAAAAATGACTAATATCCAAGTCCAAATCCATCCAGCATGGTACAATCTATCCTAATATTAACACAAGGCTAAGGTTTTTCTGTCCTTCATCGCTTACAACCATCTGATAGGGATCATGGCTCACAAACATACAATTGGAATCGGAAGGATCCAATTGGATTTAGGATTATGCAAATCCACTCGAACCTCTACAAAAAGATAATCAAAGCACAGGACAAAAGACTTGGGACTACATCACTCCATATGCAGCAGCAAATAAAACAGCATGAACAGAACGATATTAACAAGACTGAGTTATAACAATGATACTGTATTGTCTGATCATAGTGGTTCGACATGCTCAACTAGCAGGAAGCTTCAAGAGCACCATCCAGAATACACCAACTTCGTCCACTCAAAGCTAAATAATTCATTACATGGTATTATAATAAGAGTACAATCTGTCTTTCAGGTTCCCATCCATGCCTCCATTCTTCTCATGCTTTGGAGCTCCTCAAGTTTCAGCGGTACTGCATAATAAGAATGCACATTGTGAGCCTCAAAATCGAAACAACTGTATGCCTTAACTATAATTGCTTTACATCGCTTAAATATATACATACAAGAACTAGAAACACCAACTCACTTTTTACAAGACATGTCTCAAAGCTTGTGCCAGTGTACAAAGCACAAATATGAGAATTACGGCCTTAATTTTATAACAGAAGACTTTACATTCCAAATTGCTGATCCAACTTTTCAGCATCAGAAGCCACAGCACAACTGTTTACCTACAACTAAAATGCCTAACATTTTCGTCATAAAAAGAGGCATCGGAAGCTCTAGATCATAAGAAACACTGGCTGGATATGGAAACAACCATGCTTCAGAGCTTATACCCAAGTTGTCAATTATAGACCAACTCTTACAATAAGAAACTTCACAGGTTCCATATTGCTAATACCAAGAATCTGATAACCATAGTCTTGCTAGTATCTTCATATTGCAAATTAAGAATTAAGCTGTACAGCACTACCATAGTCTTGCTAGTATCTTCATATTGCTAATTAAAAATTGGGCCAATCACAACAATTTACAAATTCGACTAGAGATGACACTCTGTAATCCAGCAAGACACTAATTCGAATGCAAACAATTACACAACTAGACTAAGACCTATACTACCGAACAGGATAAGAAATTATGAAAATCCAAGCAAGTATTGACAGCGGCCATATAAACGCAGTAATATGGGCATCATGGGCATTGCTTCCACTTCTAAGAAACCACGAAACAGACTACTTAAACTCGCCCCAGTTGGACCAACACAGATACATCATGGCGAGGCGTACTCTGGGCTATGGCATGGCATAGCAGAATAAATCGTACGCTTATGGATTACCCAATCAGGCAAACCGGTAACCACTACTAACGCAGGCCAGGGAAGCGAGCAGAGGCCGGAAGATTTTGGCGCGTACCTTGATGAAGCCGATGTCCTTGGCGTTGCTGCGGAAGCACTGCCTGCAGCACATGAGCCCGTACTTCCGGATGAGGCCGTGGGGGTTGGCGCACACACGGCTGCAACCACACACCGCGGCATCCATTAGCAATCACCATCACCAAGTACGAAGTGGTATATAATAAGAACAAGCATAAGGGCAAGCAAATCTGCTTGGGCCAGAAGCACCAAAATCTAACTCCAAGCTCATGCCACAAATCTGGCGGATTAAACAGAAGACATATATATAGCACAAATGACATCGGCGATTAGGTGGGGCGAAGGAACTAGAGGATTACCAAACCCTGGATCCAGGGCCGTAGTTCTTGGGGTGCGAGTTCCACACGTTGGAGTGTCCCATGGCGGCGGCGGCGGCAGGGGAGGAGGAGGCCTCGCGAGTAAACCCTAACCTTGTCTGACTTGGTTTGTGATTCTGAGCGGTGGCGAGAACGTTCGGCTTCTTCTATAGGAAGACGGATGGCATCGCTTCACTGGGCTTTTCATTGGACCAACCCAACAAAGATGACAAGGTGGACTGATCCATCTTGGTGTTTGAATTGGACCAAAACTTGGCCCGGTCTGTCATATTTTTTTATTCTTCCAGAAAAAAGAAAATCCATTTGTCCAATTTTCGCCAAAGTTCTACCTACCACAATCGAAACTAAGTTTCGGGGGGCCCGTTCATCTTTGAAAACCATTCGATTTTGCTCCCTAAAAAAGACTCGATCCACGGGACGGTCTCGACATCATTTTGACTAATAGTGTCATATCGGTTCCGCTTACATAGCGCCATGTCATGCGATGGAGCTAAATCAAACCGAGCTAACTGTTTATAGGAGGTAAATTTTTGAAACTATTGAAATGTCTTTTCCTCTGAAAGGTTATACCGTACATCTCAAATATGACTTAATATATTAGGCTATTTTTAACCTAACTAAAAATATGAAATCGGTTTTGCTTTTTTATAAAACAGTGTTCTATCCTATGGTATCTAGTTTGGAATTATTTAAATTTTATATGGTCTCATTTTAATGTTTATTTATTACTAAATCCGTTCCAAATTATAGTTCGTTTGGCTTTTTTGACCTCAAGTTTGACCACTCGTCTTATTCAAATTTTGTGCTAAATATCACTTTTTTTGTTGTGGCTTGCTTTATTAACAAAAGTTCTTCAAGAATGATTTTAAATTTGACTATGTTTGCACAAATTTTTTGAATAAAACGAGCGGTCAAACTTGGGTCAAAAAGGTCAAACGAATTATAATTTAGAATGGAGGGAGTAGTAAAGATGCTCTTATTTGTTTGTTAGTTCACGTTTGCGATATATATAATAGATAGGAGTTCAAGCGATTTAGATGACAACAAAACTGTCGCGTAACTACTGACCACCTCGTCCTTCTCCTTTCCCTTAATTATTCAGTACAAAATGTGGCTTACCTTTTAAAAAAAAAAGAGGCGTCTATCTCATCCTTCTTCTTTCATTTAATTACTCCGTATATAGGCAGCATGTTTGCTGGTTGGTTTCTGGGCTGATAAGTCTGGCTGGTGTTGGTTTGTTATGAGAGAAAATACTGTACCATGGCTGATAAGCCCTGGCTGAAACCAACAAGCGAACAGGCTGAGGATGTGGTTTAGTTTTTTTTTGGAAAACAGGTGTATTGTTTCATTGGTATATTTCGCTACCTTGTTTCATTGATATTTGGTTGCATGTGTAGCCCACACCGGTCACTGCCCGCCACCGCTACCAACGAGGTGACGTGCATAACCTTTATGAAACACGAGGCTTTCAAGAGTGATGTTTAGCCACTTTGGAGTTTCATGGAATCATGTCTCAGTTTTCATGACTCACATATGTTGAAAATGGTATAGACAAGCCCCGTTCTCATAAAACTCACTTTATTTTATGAATTTTTCATCGTTTTCTCATCATTTATACTATATCATATCAGCTTATTTAATGTCTATGAAACTCTCATAAAAATCTAACTTGTTGCAAATATGGTTCCTCAAACCACAAACGAGAACATGCTTTCTAGGTGGACATACGATAAAACATGATTTAAGCCTATTCATTCAACAAAAATTGTACTAACGGCCGCGGGCCCATAATCTTTATTTGCCACACTCGTGTTCGCTGCTGAAGCAACCCTCATATGCGTGTCAACACGAGATTGGACAAACTTCGCACGGTGGGCACACCTTGTCTCCCCCCTCTGCCTTCCCTTTGTACTCGCGTGTCTCGTCTCCCTCATCTTCGACAGCTATTAGAGATTTGGGTTTTCAGGGGGCGAGGAGGGGGAGCTGATGTGGCAAACATGGTGATGACGGGGTGTTGGGTGTTGAGTGAGGGGACAGGAGCTTGGGGATTAGGGTTTGGAGAGAAACATGAGCGACTCTGATGTGGTGACATCATCACCGCACTCATGGTCTCGAATTGGACACCATGTTCGTGTGCATGCGATGCGATGATGGATGTGAGTCTCTTATTGTGCGCGCTCACTCGTTGCTAAAGACTAGCAACAAATGAAATTTATTAGTCATACCAGAAAACTAATCAAGAGAATAAAGTAATCATAGATATTTATTGCCGCTGATGCATGAAAGAAAAGAGATTAAGAAAATGTCGTCATGCAAAGAACCGAAGATATTTATGAGAGAAAAGAAAATTTTAATCGACTATGCAATGAAAGTAGTAGGTTGAAAGAGTTCAATTAAAAACCGTCAATTGAAATCTAAATGGCGCACGTGCCCTAAATAAAAATCACATGGTATACGGCTCGTTCCTGTGCATGTATAGCGTCTACGGTGTTGTAGTTGAAGTTGTGTGTTGTGACCGTCTGCATTGTACCGTGTAATTAAAAAAACTTGTAGAAAGACTAAATAAATTTCTTTTTTCTTCAAAGAACTATTTTTCTCTAAATTTTAGTTGGACAACTAGGGTAGTCCACTCCAAACATGTCCTTATTTTTTGATGGCGTAGATGATCAACGCGATGATGATGCCCCAGAAGAGCCAAGCCCAACTGCACACGAAAAGTAAAAGCGTGGTGTCAGCTGAGACGGATCGATATGTATCAAATGCATGGACGATCGATGGAGCTAGTACCACATACCGAGCACTTGGCGCACTCCTCGCAGGACGGGTCGTCCGTCGTCGAGGGCGGCGGCACGTCGACGCGCACATCGTCTCTGGCGTTGTCACTGTAGGACCTGCGGCTGCTGCTGCTGGTGGCAGTCGGCCAAGAGAACATCGTCGTGGGGCCGAAGAACATTGCGGCGCGGCATCGTCGGTGTGGGAGTTGTGCGGCGAGACGTCGTCGGTGTGGCAGTGGTGCGCCGGCGGACAGGGGCAGTCATGGTGATGCATATGGCCGCCGGGGATTATTGTACTAGCCGAAGGCGAAGCTGGCCGGGAACGCGGATTTGATCTTCGCGTCGCGTCGGCGGTTTGCTTGGACTCACGTACGTTTGGTTGCACCGTCACCACGTACTGTACTACCTGGAGCCTATGCGAGGTGTATATATCGAACGATGGCTGGCCTGGCGTCGCGGGTTCGAGATCAGATTCCGTGCCGCGCCCGGAACGGTTTCATTCATGCACAATCTGTAGTAAATCTAGGAAGTAGATCACAAGTGTCATCAGATGCTAAAGAAAGATTTTGTTTCAAACATGAGCGAGGACAAATAACATGCACACATGGAGTCTGAGGCGGACGCACCCTCGACGTGCACCTCTGGGAAACAAAAACAAAGCGGACTACGAGACGCCGTGGTACAAATGTACAATACAGCGCGGCCGTTCTGGCGCCGCTGCGGTGGACACGGGCTCGGGAACATGGAGTTAGAGAGGCTCTGCGGACCGGGCTGTCCGGGCCAGCATCGTGGTGCGAGATGCCAATTGCTAGCCCAAAAGGCCCAGGTAATAACCAAACAGAGGCACAGGCGCTGCGCTTGACTTGCCTGTGCCGTGCGGTGCTTCAGTTTAGTCCCACCTCGGCCGCCTTGAGCGGGCGGGAGCGGAGGAAGCTTATAAAGCAGACGCAGGGCAGGGTAGGAACTCATACCTTTCTCGGCCTTTTGGCTAAGATCAAGTGTAGTATCTGTTCTTATCAGTTTAATATCTGATACGTGGGCCATGTGCGTACTTCGATATTAAATTAATTTTTTTGTGGGGAGGGTTCACCACAGTGGCTTGCCACTGGGTTCTTGCGTGTCGCTCGGGCGTTGCACTACTGCCCGAGCCTGGCACCCCAGCCAAATCAAAAAGAAATTTTGTTTGGCCTAAACAAGCATGGGCGAAGTGAAATCATCCTTAGATGTAATCGAGGTCTTAAACTCGCCGTTCTGATTAAACCTAGGAAATTAGAGTCAAACTAGTCTTTTATAATTAGAATTGTTTTGTGCACCTGCCCTGAATCCCGTACCCGGAGTTCAAATCTCGATGGGACCTTTTATTTTTGTAGATTTTGTTTTGATTATTTTTTTGGCTGTTCTCATCCACTATTTTATTTTCTAAATCGTTTTTTGGCAGTTCTCATCTACTAATATAAAACAGTTCTTATAAAACGAAAACAGAGGGCAGCTGGGTTCGCCAAGCTTCCGCTCTTAGGCTTTGACTCCCACTGTCCATATGGATTTTTTTTTAAACTACTGTCCATATGGATTTGAGTGTGAAACAAGCTGTTTTTTTCTCTCCCAGTCCCTCTCAAGTATCAACACGTATGTATTGGAGCGTTTATTTTTCTCAACCCAAAGAGGCCCTACACCCAAACTGTGAATACAGCACCAGATCTGTTTGGAATTTGAATAAAAGCAAGTGATAGGCCGTCTCGCGACTAGTGCTGGCTGCCAGGAACTCCTCTCTGTTGTCGCCGATCTCCATAAAGTTCTGATTGCTTGTTTTATCAATTTTCAAACTCACCAGTGTTGGACCACAGTTAGCCTTCCGACCACCGAGATGATCTCCAGACCACTACAGATAGCCTCCAGACCACCGATTACAGCCTCTAGACCACTACCTGATAGCCTCCAGACCATCGAGATAGCCTCCAGACCACTTCGTTGGTCTCACAGGATCACCGGCTCACGACAGTGAACCACTCCAGCCGATCTTACCGAACACCGGCTCAGGCGAGTGGAATACTTGTCGGTCTCGCCGAGCACGCGCTAGTGTTGCCGTGCAGACCACGTACCGGCATTGTCCGTACCCACACACTACGGATCGAGCTAGAAGAGGAAGGGAGAACAGAGCAGCATGCACAATACAAGGCAACAGCGTTGGCCGAAGCCCTGTCTGTGTGATGACAAATCTGAGCTCTCTTTACTGAGTTGCCATACATGTCTATTTATACAACTCTAACTAT